CCATCTCTCACCTCTTTCTTTAATCAGTGCAGTGGTGTCTGTTGGTAAGCCTTTTCTTGACCATGAAACATATCTACCTTTCATTTGTGTTGAGACAAAAAGAGGGAAATATTGCAGAAGAATTGTTCATAAAGCCAATCCACTGGGCCAATAAAGTCACCTGAAATCAAAGGATAGAGTCAATGATTGACTGACCAACATTAGCCATAAAGTTCTTGGAGTACTTACCAGGTCTGATACAGAGGACAGAAGGAGAGGAGAAAGAATTTCTGGGCCTGGTTGATTGGAAAGAACTAAGAAAAGAGGTCAGTCAATATGCTCTCTACTTTCCTTGAATTTATCAGTTATTTAGCTCAATTTCTGACTCCTGAGTTTTTAATATACTGGAACAATTTAGGTAATCATTTCAGTCAGCTTTGACTTACAGTCAGTCTTTCTACCTTTGAGCACACCTTTTTCTTCTACTACTTAGTATTTCTCTCGTTCCATAGACAAACAATAAATAGTTCCTTTTCTTAATGCTTTCAACAAAATCTGAACTTAAATTGTTCTTCTCTCTACCCTAACCTAGTAGCCTGTAGGTAGGGGGGATGAATCATAAGAGAAGATACGGCAGGATGACCAGCTTGTACTTTATCAATAGTAGTTCCTTCTAAGAGTCATATTTTATCAGTCAAATATCATATTTGGGACAGTTATCAAACCACTTTTAAGGATAAAATATGAATTAGCAAACTGAAAATAATTATGAACAATGTTATGGAATCCCAGCTAAGTTGTTGATCCCCTAATTTATTTTCCCATTGTAAGATATTGATAGTAACTCTAAAGAAGGTCCTAACTCCCTACATTGTGATATTTCTGATACTTAACATATGAAAGACTTACCCCTTCTTTTTTGTTAAATCTAGTTTCTTGTTTAATAATTCTCAAGTGCCTTAGCACAACTCATGATGTTGGCAGTATAGGCAGAAATGTGTGTGTCTGTGTGTGTGTGTGTGTGTGTGTATAAGGGGGTGGGAGTATGGAGAATTATTGCCAGTTGTAGCTGCAGTATTGTGGCAATGTTGGGCACCCAGTCCATCAGACTACCATGGTGATTGGTGGGATCACAGTAGGCTGTTTCTCTGTTACATGAGCCTGACTGAAGACACCTAAAACTGCATATCTGTTTGGTGTGCAGTGGGGTACCCCAAGCTGTGATAATTGCATGCTAGGTCAGAGGTTCAATGTAGCTGCTCAGGAGCATGCAGGGAGGGACATGAGCTGCTTGAAGAGCTAATGTTAAGAAACTAGTAGGAGAAATCCTCACATCTTGGAAGCAGCACATCTGCCATTAGTTGTGGTGATATTTTATTTGATCTAACAAATAAAGCTTTCCTGAAGATCAGAGTGCAAACTACATGTAGTTAGACATAGAGACCAGGCAGTGGTGGTACACACCTTTAATCCCAGCACTCTGGAGGCAGAAGCAAAGGATGCTGTGAGTTCCAAGCCACCCTGAACTACAGAAGACTGATCCAGTCCAAAAGAAAAACAGAGACAGGCTCACACCTTTAATGCCAGTACTTGAGAGTTACATGCCTTTAATCCAAGCAATAGGGAGGTGGAAACAGGAGTGATATAGTTGGGTAGAGACAGGAATATAAGGCAGAAGAAGACAGGAGATCAAAGCAATGAATCTGAGGATTCCTAGAGATGGGGTCACCTAGACAGAGGCAGAGGACTTTCTTTGAGTTCAAGTACAACCTGGTTATATCCAATTGATTCACTCTCAAAGAGAAACAGAGCAAGGAGGTGTTGGCTCAACCCTTTAATGCCAGTACTTGGGAGTCACAAGTTTTTAATCCCAGCATGAAAAGGGTGGAGGCAAGAATGATATCACTCAGCTGAGAGAGAAATAAAAGGCAGGAGGAGACAGGAGCTCAGAGCATTCAGTCTGAGGCTTCTTAGAGACAGCCTTTAGTCTGAGGATTTATAGAGACAAGATGAATCATTTTGTCTGTTTTGGTAGAGGTAAGAACTAGTGACTTGCTGCTCTGCTTCTTTGATCTATCAGCTTTCACACCCCTAATGTCTGACTCCAGATTTTTATTATTAAGACAAATAAGAAATTGTGTTAAATCTGGTGGCCAATATAAGATTAAAGGCATGTGATCCCAATTGCTGAGATCACCTTTGTGTGAGCTGTTTACCTTTAGGACTGGATAAATTTCAAGTAGTTCCGTGTGGCCTTGAGCTAACAGGTCCATCTGCTTGTCTCTTGAGTTCTGGAATTTAGGTGTGTGTCACTACTATCTGTGTCTATGGCTAGCTAGTATGGCTGCTGGGAAAAAACAACAACAAAACTTCGGTGGTGGGTGGGGGAAAGATGGGTTCATTTCTGATTGGTTGACATTTACTCAGTGTTAGGGGACTCACATTTTTTTGGTAGTATAGTTTGTTATTTGCATTTGTTGGCTCAGGAAAGGGACATTTTGTAGCTTCTTGAGGATGTATTATGGTTACTGTGAAGTTATATATCTTTCCCGGAGCTGGTCTTTTAAAAATTTTCCTGGAGTTACAGTGCCTGTGAAGTTAAGGGGGATAGGTTTGTCCTTGGTGTGTCTGGTTCTACTAAGACTGCTGAGGCCTGCTTGAAATTTTTAATTTTAACTGTTACAATCTTAAAGCTTGAACTCCATTATCTCTCTCTGGGTTTTTATTATTTGTGTTCCATATTGACACCCAAAGTTAAGGTACAAATTCATGAAAAAGCTGCTTTGAGGCCACTGCTCGGGCCCAGTTTCTCTCTCTTTCTCTGTCTCTGTCTCTGTCTCTCTCTCTCTCTCTCTCTGCCTCTCCTTCCCTTCTTCCCTGTATGTTTCAGGCTTTCCTATAGCTCCCCTCCTTAGGGGCTGCTACCTCTACTGTTCACTGACACTCTCGGTAGATTTAGTAAGACCATTAGGAATTCTTAAAGAAAGGAATAGTTAGAAACAAAAGTTTTCTTTTCCCACATGAAAATAGAAACACTATTACAATGGAGAAAAATAGGTCTCTGTGTGATTACATGATGGATGACTTCAAAGTGGAACAAGTAAATAAAGGGATAATCAACTACACCAGAATTAGCATACTATTAATTATCATTTTAATAATGTTTTTTGTTGGTTTGGTCATTCTTGGTTTATCTTTAAAAGAGTTTGTTGATAGGAGTGCCAAGATGGAGGCCTTAGAAAAACATTTTAAAGTGGATCATGAAGATAATCAAAACCAGACTAAGGAATTTAATGGAGAATCAAGTTCAGCATTGAATTATGAAGTTAAAGTTGATCAGTCTAAGTTCTTGTGAAAAGCAACCTTAATATATCTAGTAACCTTACAGGAAGTGACAAATGATAGAGGTACTTCGAAAGCTTATTGGTTACCTGTGACATTGTTAGATTTGGGGAAATTTAAGGAAGTAGTAGTCTCATGTGGCATGCATTCACCATTTGTGAAGCAGATGATAAACACATGGTTTGATTGTAACAGAGTTATCCATATAGAGTGGATGGATTTGATTAATGTTGTTTTAGAGCCTGGACTAAAGTTACAATGGACTTCCTAGTTCAGAGACTATTGAAAAACAGACTAAAGCAAAAGGTATAGATATCTCTCAAGATCAAATTCTTGGAGAAAGAGATTATGCAAGTTTAGAAAGGCAATGTCTATATGATGATCATCTCTTGGGTTAATGCTGTACATCAACTTTGAATGCTTGGGATAGAATTGGAGAAACAGGAAAGAAAATTGAGTCATTTACAAAAGTTATACAGGGTCCAAAGGAAACCTTCACTAATTTCTTACAAAGACTGTCATCAGCAGTAAATAGAATGATATCAGACACAGAAGCTAGACAAATAGTAGTTGATTCTAGAGCTTTTCAAAATACTAATGACCAATGTAAAATGATCATTAGGCCTTAAAAAGCAAGGTCAGTGCCTTTGGAGGATTGGATCTGAGATAGAATTAATATTGAAGTTCATGATCATTATTATGATGCATATATAGGAGACGTGATTTCAAGAGGTTTGAAGAAAAATAGAAGTGTCAAATGTTTTAATTGTGGCAGACAAGGTCACCTTAAAAGTGACTGTAAACAGGGCATTCATAGAAACAAGGCTTTTTATGAACATAATTAAAAAAGAATGCCCTCCCTTCTGGATTATGCAGAAGGTGTGACATGCAGGCACTGGACTAAAGAATGTAGGTCAACAAAAGACATTCAAGATAATCCTTTGCCTTCAGGAAATGCCATGAGGAGCCTCTTGAAAGCCCCCATGCTAAAATCTGTTCAGTCATTTTCTGGAAACTGTTACCATGGAAATTCCTTCCCTGAGCAATTAAATAACCTTTATGCTTTTGTGAAAACCATACTGCTCTGGATGATAGAGGAGCTTTAGCAGAAAGACAAAGATTTCAAGATAAACCATGAATCAAAATTGACAGATTAGATTTGGAAACTCCCCAAAGTTAGGGTTTGGAAACAGTTTTGATTTTCTTTTTTCTGGATAAGAGAAATGTAGTGATATATTATTAATGATTTAATAAAGCTTACATGATTCGTACAGTATGCAAAGCCAATTATAGTAGTTAGCTACAGAAGCTAGGCAATGGTGATACACAGCTTTAATACCAGAACAAAGAATTAAGAGGTAGACAGATCTCTGTTATTCCAAGGTGACAATGACGACAGGAAATATTCATTGAGTCTTAAAAGATACAGTCCACACAAAGGAGATCACAGCACATGGGATCACATGGTTCAAAAAATCCATTGTTATAGAGACCAGGCAAGTATAGTAACAGTGGAACACTGGCAACTGGCAACTGGATTATGTACAAATGAGAAGGGAAGCCTCATGGGAGAATCCATAAAAGAGTGAGTACTGATGATGCTGTGAGTTGCATTGTTGTCAACCCTGAAATTCCATGCTCAAACATACCCAAAAAGAAAGACAACAATGACAATTTGTATGCTGACCATTTTATTAAGGTAGTAAAGTTATAGTTCTGATCCTGATGGTCCAATAGAAGAATGTAGTGAGGGAGTTATCTTCTTACTTCCTGAAATAAACAAATCATGAAGGCAGGTTACAGAGAGGACTTGGCATGTCAAAAATAAACAACAGGGATGTGTCAAAGGAAAAATTTCATGAGGTCTATGTATCCATATGAACTGATGAGTCTAAGCAAGGAGGGAGAGGACCTTAGGAAGAAAAGGGATTTTCTTTTAAAAAACAAATGAGACACAAAATAATTATGAAACACAAAATGTAGAAGTGATGTTCCTCTAAAAATAGACATTGCTTCATGAATAAGTCATTTAATAGTTACCAAAAATAATTGAAATTGGATCCAGGACTATATAATTTCTAAATATTTTGATTGGTAATTTACCATGTTCTAAGAAATAAAGGAGTCTGGCATTTATTCAGGATGATAAATGTAAGTCATACCTGTCATTGAATTTTAGTTTACTGAGGACCAAAGGCCTGGGAGCATTCCGGTGGTCTGAATCATTACAAAGATTGAGGTGGTCCTTGCTTGTTTCCAGACTGAGGGCCTTGGTTCTGCTGTGTGCCTCCCTGTGGGGATGGGTCTTGCTGGTTTCCAGACTGAGGACCTTGGATCTGCTGTGTGCCTCCCTGTGGGGATGCACCTTGATGGTTTCCAGGCTGAGGGCCTTGGTTCTGCTGTGGACCTCCTTGGGCGGATGGGCCTTGCTGGTTTCCAGGCTGAGAACCTTGGATCTGCTGTGGGCCTCCTTGTGCAGATGGGCCTTGCTGGTTTCCAGGCTGAGAACCTTGGATCTGCTGCGGGTCTCCTTGTGTGGATGGCCGTTGCTTGTTTCCAGGCTGAGAACCTTGGATCTGCTGTGGACCTCCCTGTGGGGATGGGCCCTGATGGTTTCCAGGCTGAGAACCTTGGATCTGCTGCAGGCCTCCTTGTGTGGATGGGCCTTGCTGGTTTACAGGCTGAGAACCTTGGATCTGCTGTGGGCCTCCTTGTGTGGATGGGCCTTGCTGGTTTCCAGGCTGAGAACCTTGGATCTGCTGCAGGCCTCCTTGTGTGGATGGGCTTTGCTGGTTTCCAGGCTGAGAACCTTGGATCTTCTGCAGGCCTCCTTGTGCGGATGGGCCTTGCTGGTTTCCAGGCTGAGAACCTTGGATCTGCTGTGGGCCTCCTTGTGTGGATGGGCCTTGCTGGTTTCCAGGCTGAGAACCTTGGATCTGCTGCAGGCCTCCTTGTGTGGATGGGCTTTGCTGGTTTCCAGGCTGAGAACTTTGGATCTGCTGTGGGCCTCCCTGCTGGGATGGGCCTTGCTGGTTTCCAGGATGAGGGCCTTGGATCTGCTGTGGACCTCCCTGTGGGGATGGACCTTGCTGATTTCCAGGCTGAGGACCTATGTTCTGCTGGCGGCCTCCCTGTGGGGTTAGGCCTTGCTGGTTTACAGGGTGAGGGATTTGGTTCTGCTGTGGACTTCCCTGTGGGGGTGGGCTTTGCAGGTTCCCAGGCTGAGCATGGCCACCTTGCTGTTGGTTTCCTCCTTTTGGAGGTCCATGTCTTTGTGGAAGTCCTTGATGAGGTGGTCTCTGATTGAGGATCTGCTTTAGGCTCTGAAAACCTGAATGAGTAAAGCAAATCATAGATAAGATTAGTACCAGCTAATTTTCTTCTCCTTTACCTCAATGGCTTTTTCACATAGCATATTTTCCAGGAAACTCCCATTCAACAGCAGCCTCGCTTATGTTTTCCTGAAGAGTTCTTGTTAATCTGTGTATTTGATGACATATATGTATTCATGATATAGATTCCAGAATAAGTCCACAGATTATTCAGAATCAGTTTAATCAGTTTCCTTAAATAAATGTAAAACAAAGAAATGAACTCACACATGCTAAGTTCCCTTTCATGTTATATTTTATGATACAACTGTTTGGTTTTTGGTTTGGTTTTGTGACCCCTAATCAAGGAGCTCATTTTTGTGTTAAAACTCAAGCAACTCATTCATAAGTCTTGGCTCAGAGTGTAGAATAGTAGCAATGGGAAGAAAAAGACAAAAGTAGCATTCCACACAGTATTCACTGAGTGAATTCAAGAGAGGTTATCAGTTATGGATTCAATACACTATCTGAATACACAATCAGATAGAAACATTCACATTTGTGCATTTTTCTTGCTACCATAAAACACTGCCATTGAGGAAACATGGAGATGGACTAAGCTATTGAGGTAGTCTTGGTATGTAGAAGAGTCATAATCAGGCACTTCATCCAAGTTCTGTCTGTAGCAACCACTCCTGCTACAAGAAGTCCCAGAAAAGACCTTCAGAGAGATATTCAATCAACAAGAGTTTTTTTTCTAGCATTAAGGGAAGAGTCCTCAGATACCATGGCAAAACAGCCACCTGTAGACTAGCTCACAGGCTTCTTTTAAGCAAGGTTAGGGGAATTTCAGGAAAGAGAGGTTAATCTGGGTGTTGAGGTAGGTTTAAATAAAAAGTCTCCCAGTCTTTATTGGATTGTTTTCTGGTTTTAGAGGTTAGGGACTTTCCAGTGGCAGAGTAGAAAAAAAACTATCTTCAGCTAACAGAAGGTTGTGGGGCAACTGCTGATTGGTTGTCCCTGAGTCTTTCTGAGAAAAGGTCCTTCAGTTCCAGTAAACTGAATCTGAGGCCTAGTTTCTGACCATGCTCTTAGGAGCCGATCCTCTTGTTTGTTTGACCCTCTGATTACGAAAAGGCAAATTCCTCCTACTTTGAGTGTGCCAGACCTCTAGTTTATTCACATTATTGCCCTCCCTGGTAATAGTCCTTACTATCAAGGTTGGGGAATGTTTGTAACTTTGGGAAACCTGAATTCATTAATTAGTAAAAACAGAAGTGACAGGCATTGTATAATTAAAATATACTTACTACATACAGAAAAGGAGTTTGATGATGTGTTGATATTAGTGAGGAAGGGTATTTACAGAAATCATTGGGATATAAAGCAAGGATATGATCAAAAATGAGGTCACTAAAGCAACATCCTACAGGTAACAACTGATTTTAGCCACACTCTGTATATCCCCTAAGGGAACTTTTAGCCACTGACTGTTACGCTGATTGTCAACCACTAACTCATAACATAAAATTCCCCTTTGGTCCTTCCTCTTTTACCTAGAATTTTATTGTTTATTCTAATAACACACACATGTCAATATTCATATACATAGATATCTATGATATGTGTGTGAGATATAAGTAATATACATGTTCAGTAACTTAAAATAGTACTGTCTTTATATCTTCTTTATTTAATAACTTCTTATTTTATATTCCCATGTTTTCTCAAACAACAATAAGAATCTTTTTTTGCAAATCTTTACACTCACAACTGATGACACATTGAAATATTCCATAAGAGTAGGGAAAAAGGAGACCTGAGAGGATGACTCCATTTCTCTGTCCACAATTTTATTGTTTAATTTCCTGTACTTAAATTGCTGTGGCCTGTGTTTCTCTCTGTCATTTTTCTCCTAAACACACAGTACAGCAAGGCTACTGGCATCTTCAGTGTATTTTAACTACCAGTGTCTTCAAAACTGAGGCTTTCCTATTCCTATATACTCTGTGGTTCCATTTATCTCTCATCTCCTGTCCTCCCTCCTGTCTCTCTTGTCCCCTCCAATGTTGTCTCCTGCTCTTTAAGCAGAATCACAGCACCCATACTCATATTTTCTTACCTTCTCCTTGTCTCTGAGCAGAGCTCAGGGCTAACAAGACTACTGTGAGCAGGACCACCAGCATCTTGGAGGAGGCTCTGGAGTTGTTCCCAAGTCTGTTCTGGAAGAAGCAAGGCAACTGTCTTTATAAGGAGGAGCAGAAGAATGGTGCCATTGAATTTCACTCTATGATATTCTGTTCTTAAAAAAGCAGGAAATCTTGCAACCATAACGCTATACTGGGACTTTTGCCCAGCAGGATGAGGTAGGGAAGAGGTGCCAAGTGTCCCCTTTTGAAATGGTAGAATAGATGATTAGATTAAAATGGAAAGGATTCATATGCAAGGGAATAGCACAGATATTAAAGTTGAAAGGCTCTCATTATATGAATCTCATTTTATATGATGAGTATTTTCTGTACACCATTGTGCATTTGGGGGTAGGAGCAGTGTGTGCACACAAGTATTTATATTGTCAGCAATGAGAAGATGGTAACTGTCTCTCATCAGTATTATGGCTGAAACTGTACCATTATATGTATAACACATAAAGGGCTATATGTTATATTTAGTTAACAGTGATGGTGGTGAGGCATTTCTTACACAAATTTGAATTAATTAGGAGATCACACTTGGAATTCCTAGACTGCTAGGCCTCAGCACGACTTCCCAACATTTTCTTGATCTGACCCTATAACAGGAACATTGGTCAGTAATCCACAAGACTTAAAACACCACTAAAATCCCACCAGAAGTGGCCACAGAACCATGAATATGTAATTCCTTGATGAGTCATGCTACCATTTTATATTTATAAGATCTGTACAAAGTTCCATTGTCCAAAGTATTCTCTCCAAATTACTAAAGGCCACAGTTACAGAGTTGAGCAAGGCAGCCTTATTATTTCCCTCAAAGATTCAACTGCATACATTCACATTTTTTCAAAATCAGTGATAGCCTGGGTCCTCAGGGTAACTTATATCACAGATTATGTATGATTTTCTGATAGCTTTTTCCATTTTCTTTGAAATTAGAAACAAGCTTGTTTTACATGTCAATCCCAGTTCTCTCTCCCTCCCCCTCTTTGTCTGCCCCCCAACAACCCCCCTTTCCCCATCCCCTTTCTGCTTCCCAGGGAGGGTAAGTCCTCCCATGATGGATCTCCAAAGTCTATCATATCATTTTGAGCAGGGCCTAGACCCTTCCTCTATAAGGAATAGGCTCCCAGAGTCCATTCATATACTAGGGATGATTACTGATCCATTACCAGAGGCCCCATAGATTAACCAGACCTCCAAACTGACGTCCTGGTTCAAGGGGTCTAGAACAGTCTTATGCTGGTTTCCCAGCTATCAGTCTGGTGTCCATGAGCTGGATCTTGTGGTAGACTGATTGCCATTTTCCTGAGTAACTGCCATACTGATTTCCAATGTGGCTGTACGAGTTTGCACTCCCATCAGCACATCCTCTCCAGCATAAACTGTCATCGGTGTTTTTGATTTTAGCCATTCTGACAGTAGTTTGATGGCATCTCAGAACAGTTTTGGTTAGCATTTCCCTGACAGCTAAGGAAACTGAGCAGTTTCTTATGTGTATCTCAGCCATTTTAGAATCCTCTCTTGAGAATTCTCTATTTAGTTTTGTACCCAACTATTTAATTGGATTATTTGGTGTTTTGGTGACTAGCTTCTTGAGTTCTTTGTATATTCTGGATATTAGCCCTCTGTCAGATATGGGGTTGGTGAGTATCTTTTCCCATTCTGTGAACTGTCATTTTGAGTATCACATCTCAAGATTCTCTTTCTGAACACTTTTTCTTCATATTTTGTGTTATAATTTGCTCCTCTTTATTGTTTTTACTCTTAAACTTGGACATTTTTCAGTCATTAGAAAAGAACTTGTCTAATTCTGTGATCTGATTAAACATATACAAAATATATGCTTCATAAGTTTCTTTCTCATTCTTTTCTTACCAACTCAAAGTCCCTATAAAATTTATTTGTGTCTTCTTTAGGTATAGCACAGGGTTTGTGGTATTTGAGGACTGTTTAATTAGAGACAGAGAAGGATATGTAATTGACAAACTTAAATTGGGCCCATTGTGCATTTGGGGCCACTGGACTCTATGCTATGTATGTGAATTACAGTCTTTTCTTTTCCACCTGATTGTGGTGAACAATACAGAAAAGGTCCATCAAAAATGGGCTATAGATGCTACATGATATGTGACTTTTTCAAGATGACCAGTATCACAGTTACATTTCTAGGATAATTACATCTATACTCTAGTTTTTTTTGAAGTTCACCATCCTTTCGTGGTTATGCTAAAAGCATAGCTGTTTTCCTTGCTTTCATGGGATTTCTGGGAAAAATGAGTTTCTTCCTCATGACAGGTCTCTCTTTATAAACACACTATGTCCTATATCTTCCCTAGAAACCATAGAGCAAGATAGTCTGAAGATAATATGTCCTGTCCAGGAAGTCACAGATATGGAACATAGTTAAGATACATGTGATGTGTTAGTACCCAGTATTGACATTCTTGGTAAAAGTCAGTCTTATAATTGAATTTTTGCATCCTGGAACACAGTAGTTGTTTCTTCCAAATATCACTCTGTTCAGGACATTTCCTTGACCTTCTTAGTGTCAGCAGTGTGTGAAAGACATTAGTATATAATGAAAAGAAAAATATCATCACATACCACAGAGGCAAAAATCTAGAAGAACTGAGATCTTAAAGCCATGAGAACTATAGCAGACTTGATTATACATAGTAAAATTTTGAAGCACATTTATGTAACGTTGCCTCTCTGTATATACATACATATGTGCATACATACATGTTCTAAATTCACAGCATATATCTAAATTCACTGTGAATTTATATATATATATTGTATATGTATGCACATATGTATGTATATACAGAGAGGCAACATTACATAAAATATCTAAAGAGTCTACTAATTTAGAATTTGTAATTTCTTTATCCGAATCCTTGTATATCAGTTCAATATTGACACTGAGTAAAAGCTGGAATCCCTTTGGCATAAACAGAGCATATTTGCACATAAGTTTTTCCTCTACGTGTCCAAGAACAATATTACATGGAAGACCACTTCCTCAAAGACCCTTTTCCTTGCCTTGCTTCTCTTTGCTTATATGATGTTTGCCCACTGCTCATGTGGGGCTGTGTTATCTAGTGCCCTTTCCTTATAAGACGCAGCCAATTGGAAGTAACTGGCTAATAAATGATCCATGTCTTTCACGCTTTAACAAGTTACATTTGTTCTTTGAAAGTTTGATTCATGTATATAACACAGTCTGATGATGCTTATTTATGACTTTTTTTCCAGTTTCCTTCCACCCCTGTGAAATCTCCTCCTTCCTACAAGCCCCTTCTTAGGTTCATGTCTTTTTTCATTATCTTCTGTTATTCACTGAGCTTCACCATGTATTCTTTTGCCTTTTGGTGCAGAACTATCCACTTGATCCTGGTGGACTCTCTAGGAAACAAACAACTGAAGAGAGTAAACCCCATTTGCCTGGCATCTACCAATATCCACTGAAATTGTAGCATCTCTGATTACCTGTGGAAGGTTTTCGCAAGATTAATCCAACTCAAAATGCATAGGGGAGGTTGAAATGTACCACTCTTTATCAGTGATGACTGCTAAGTGAGGGGAAGTCAGATTTCTTTAGGAGTGTGACTACTGGTAAGTTGACTATTTTCTAGGGGATGACCTCACACCTATTAGAATATAGGCAACACCCATTGAATCTAATGGAATATAAGAAGTAATGTGCTGATATAATTTTTGTAAGATGCCATGTTGAGGGTCTGGAGAGAACTATATGCATGAGCATGACCTAAATATATAAATATATTCATGAATGTCTTAAAGAATAAATCAAAACCATTTCATTAAAAACATTTCACCCCATTTTCTATTGCTACAATGTTAATTTGTATAAGTCCTAGCATTTGCCCTATTCCAGGCCAACCTCTCCACCCTAGACCATTTCCAGTGTTCTGCTCTCAAAAGATACTCCAAATTAAGTTCAAAAGTCACTATGAAGTTACAAGTCATTTAAGAGAACAAGCATGACATTTGTCTCTCTGAACTGCATTATTTCATAAAATGACATTTCTCTCTCTAAGCTACAGTATTTGATAAAATGTATCAATTTCATTTTTTTCTAATGAAATTTTCCTAATTTCATTTTTCTTTAGTGATGAATAAAGTACCATTGTGCATATGCATCACATTTTCATTATTTATTCAGAAGTTGATATATGTCTAACCTGTTTCCATTTCCTAGCTATTGTGAAACAGCAGTAATGAACATGGTTATGTGTCCCTATCATAGGTAATAAAGTCCTCTGGATTTATGTGTAGTAGTATTTTAGCTGATTTGTATAGCAGATCTAATTTAAATTTCATCAGAATTTCCATTTAATTTAATCATTCTGATAATATGTTTAAGTAATCAATAGGAACACCGAGAGTAACAGAACAAATTATGTTTCATAATACATTTCAGTCATATTTCCATTAATTAGCTTTTTTTCACCAATTTTCAAAAATATAGATATTGTTTTATGATACTTATTTTTTCCAAATTACTGTAAAAATAAAACCATCTGACTCTATTTTTAGAGTGTATGACAGTATGATCATGGCAGCACACTTACTCGTTGCTGTTGATGTCACTTTTGGAAGGCTTTGTCTGTGATCAAATTTTAAAACACACTTATTTATGCTTTCCATTGCCACTGAGGAAACTTCAATAGAAAGCAGAGTACTATATGGCTTAAAATCCATTAATGCCTTCCCTTTTCCATTATAATAGGTACATTTTATCCCTTAGTCTATTAATAGCTATGTACCTTTCTTTTCCTGGAAGAGAGTCTAGCTCTCTGATTTTCTCAGGAAACAGTCTTTGTTAACTTTCCTGGCTCTGCTTTGTCTAAATCTCTACAGTTATTTTTACTAGGAATAATTTACAGCCATAATGTGGACAACCTTGAATTGAGGAGCAGTGAATTGTAGCAGGTCCTTTGATCCTAGGAGGAGTGGGGTTGTTTGAAAGAAAAATGGTTTCCATAGGGAGTGGCATG